TCTGGCTGCATCAAGGCCCACACCGCCAGGACAGGCCGGACTGAAAACATTCCCCCAAATCTGGGCAGAGAAAGGCATCAGAGGGGAAAAATGAAAAAGGGGGAGCAGAACCCGCCAAACGAATGAATTAGGAGTGCGGTCAAATTGTTGCTGGGTCAGTCCGATTTCATTCAACAAATGCACATTGACCACGAAAAACGAAACCTGACCATATCACAAAAAGTGCTTTTTTGAGCTTTCTACTGAGCCATGTAGCTGTAATAGTAAAAAAGCTGTGTGAGGTTATGTTGTTTGACCATGGGAGCTCAGTCATTAACCATGGTACAGTGTATGGATGGCAGCCATGCCGCTGCCAGTCAGATCATAAGCACTACACCTCGCTGAGGACCCTTTCCCACAGCGCTTCACATTTTACCCCATTTCCACCGAGCAGGGATGTGAGTCGAACACAAATTAACGGTCAACAGTGGGAACTCAATGGCGTTTGGGCTGTACCCCCAAACCCCCGCCCCCGACCGTGTGCTTCTGAATGGGCCCCCATTGAGATTCAGGGGACACAGCTCTTTGCTTGAGAGCTCACTCCCATCGGGGTGCCCCATTCCTATCATTTCATATCACAATAAACAAAGGCTCCCTTTGTCTGCAGAAGACTTATTAAGTTGCACAAATTAACAGCGCTGTCTTAATGGCCAGCATCCAAAAGATGGTTGCCACGTCAACACAACAAAGGGGAGGACAATGAAAAATAGGGGTAATATTCCAGGCTTCGCTCACATATTCTCAACAGGAGTTACTAATTTTTCCAAACTTCACACTGCTCAGGAAAACTCATCAGCCACGGTAAGATTCCCATCGACGTGGAGGAAATCCCAGAAACCGGACCGTCTCCACAATCACAAAAACGCGCTAGGCTCAGAGTGAACATTCTCAAAAGGGTAATGCTGCATTATGGGTGATTCCCCATAAGAAAAAAAAAGAACAGCTGAAAACCATGTCTTTGGGGAGAGTAAAGCAATCTAGGAAAGACTCAGCAACAAATAAGCCATTGCATCTCTTACGATTAAAGCAGACTTACAGGTGTGAATCACAGTACCCCTCAACTAGAGAGTCCTTCTCTTAAAAACCCATGTCTTCTTGAGTCACTCACTGGCAAGCGTTCCTGGCGTGAAAATTCCCTGGTGAAGTACGGGAGAACTGCCACAGCCTGGAGGCCCTGATAGACCACAATGCTCCAGAGAGCTGCACATGAATCCAAATCCACCACTGCTTTGCTGAAGGCAACAGCAACCATAATTGTTAGAGACTAGGACTCAGCGCTGAAACATGACTGGCTTCCTCAAGGTAGTTTTTTCAGCATTGCTGGTTTCCTGACGCAGATATTAACCAACACGCAGCATGCAAAACACACAAAAGTTGATTTGAACAAAACATCTGCAAGTGTATTACAGGGAAATTGTAACATCTATGCACCTTGCATATGCAGAACGAGTTAAACATAACTTGGAATAAACTGATTTCCCCCTGTTGCACAGTGATCCACAGGGGCTTTCGACAGAGTGGAAAATTTCCAGGCCCATAAATCTGCATGTACTGGCCCTCCATTTCTGGAAAAAAAAATGTGCTAAGTTTATTTTTATATTGCGTGAGGAATTGTTTTCAGAGAAGAGCGAGTATCACTACAGAGAGGACTAAAGATCTCCGGATCGGTTTGGGATTACAGTTCATTATTTTAAAACAGAGGCATTTGAAAGCGCTACAGGCGCTCATCTCAAAGCCATGCTGGACTGAAGGAAAAAACATTTAAATAAAAAGCAAATTAATTTCAACTTCAACTTCTGATATCAGGGCAAAACTGAAAGATTCATAATTTTCACATTCAGGGCTGATTTATTCAATTTATCATGCAAATCTCAATATCTAAAGGCAACTGCTAAGAAATAATAGCCTGTAGAACATCATAAAGCCAGTGACATTTCATTAAAACATAAAATAACCCATTTCTAAAAAATTACTGCCATAAAAAATGACCCCATAACGTACATCTGGAAAGCAAAACTCAAATTAAACTCAATCCACTGGCCTATTACAACTATGACTTAATGATTGGTAATATATGTAAACAGTCTTTTTCCCTCAAAAACCTGCATAACCACACAGTGGGCCTCTACATAGCAGCTATGATAAAGGAAACTTGGCATTTTAACGCCAAATATTGACTGACTTAAATATTAAAGTAGAGTTGATGCTATCTTTCATTTTCCTCAGTCAACTTCAAACCCCTTCCCCCAAATCCCACCCTCTCAGACACCCACCACTTTATCCAGAATGTTCTGCAATCCATCACCAATGCCATTCTCACAGACAAGCTATTGCGCTTTGCTACAATTCAGTTGGTGCTTAGCAACAGTAGCTTGGGGGGGGGCGGGGGGGCAGGTGACAGTCACATGACTCTCACTCTGGCAGAAAAACAAAAAATACACTTTAGACACTAACATACAAGTAGGATGTGTGTTCCTCACACATACCCGGCTCTGCAAGAGGGAGAACATTTCCTGACAGTGATGCAGCTCCGAGATACTCCACTTCTGCTGGGATCTGGTGACATGCCCAGATCATGGAGGGAAAAAAATGCTCACCTACTTTAAAACAGAGGCCTCAAATTTAATTTAGCCCTGAAATCAGTGGAAAAAGGAAGGGCAGATGTCATGATGCATACTTCACAGAACTTGACAAAATGATGTATAACAACAAGAATGGACCTAAAGTCTCCTACTGATGGGTCAATGGGAAGGAATTGTTAACATTATGTATCACATACGGGAAATAAATATAATTCATTTTAAAGCTTTAGAACCTGAGTACCTAATGAACTGAAGTATAAAACCCAAATAGACTGGGAGCTTGTAAACTGGGGTAAAAAAAATAACTGCTGACTGGTTTTTGTCTAGTTCGATTTTGAGTTAGATTGCATTTTGAAGGAAATTCAACCAGCACACTGCATTAAAAAAGATATTAAGCAAGCAGCCATGGCAGCATAAGAGCACAAGAAAGAAAAGAATGCTCTCTGCGGTCTACGACAAAGACCACTCCTCACCAGTAACACTACTTTGGAACAGCATGAAGGTGCCACCACTACTGAAAGTCAACAGAATTTTACTGATACACAAGCTAATTAAATTTTGACTGTCCTGTCAAATGGCTGAGATTTCTCACTTCAGGCATTAGACAATAGGGATAGTGTGTGTGACTAAGGAAACAAACCAGAGAGACCCTTGTCAAAGCAGAGGTCGCAGAGGTCTGCACGGTGAACTTCCTCTTCATTTACATGTCTAGGTGCCATCTGGTTAGCAGAGCCTCTGTAGACCCTAAGTCCAATGAGAAGCGTTTAAGAAGTGATGGGAATCCCCAGAAGGTGAGGTCTCCATCCCTGAGTGTGAGCTTCACTCACACTGAGCGAGACAGATGGCAAACACTGAAGGCTGGAGCGTGACGGGAGGGGGGAGAGTAATTCAGAGCCTCTGACATGACCAGGAGCCCCTTGTGTACCCCATCTTTACAGTGGCTGGGGGAAGGTCTGATGGCATTCGGGAACACATTCCAAGAACAGCTGACTGTATACATCTCTGCCAGTGTATGAATAGTCATCATAGCAGCCATCACCATTGTTTAAGGCTCCTTAGGATGGCTTCTTGAACAAAATTCCCCATTTCCCAGTTGGATGCTGGTGTGTTTCTCAAAGCTGTAAGATATCCCTACGTTTTTTCATTTAGCCACCCTGAGGATCATGGTAGGTCACTGCAGTTTTCAATCGGATCAAGCACATCAACCAAGAGCTAAACACCTTTACATCTCACCATCTCAGTCACAGCCCTCAAGAACTATGATTTACAGAATAAACACAAAAAATACTACAAGTATGATAACTGCATGTCCATCTGTTATTTAATAATTGCACCAGAGTCGTGGATGGACATGCAGTTATTGTACTATTAACATTTTTTAATACTATTTTTCACAGCACCAGTCTTCATTTAACAACCCTTTTGGTGGATGAGACTGCCTTAAAACACTAACAAACCCTAACAATACACAGGATTCAGAAGCACGACTTGATAGATACTTTTCACTCAGAAACTGACTGAATTCTGCTTGAATTCTAGCCTCAATTCGTACTGCTGAGGTTTTTCAATTGCACGTTATTCAAAACACATGTGGGTGCCAAACCATGCCTTTAAGCCACAGAGAATAGCGTTTGGACCACAGACACAGTCAATAAGGTCATTTGCCAGCTTGATGCTTTTAAAGATACGCCTGGCGCGAATAAGCGCTGAAAGTCTCCCCTACCAGCAGAAGTTTATCACGGGATAATAAGCGGAGTATCACTGTTCAAAACAATTCGTGCAACATCGTTTCAACATCTGCTACAAATGAAAAGTACTATCGAAACAAGTAACCCATTTGCCCGATAGAAGGGCGTTAACAGGAGCGTGTTTGAGAAAGAGGGATTAAAAGTGCGATGTGCAACAGGGAACAAAGTCACACCAAGCGTGAATATGGATCAGACAGGTCAATCGGTGTGTTTGGAGATCAACCGGAATAACAGAAGTATCTGAAGAAATTTAGGGCTGTTAATCTGGGTAAAAGTTCAAGAAGACCTAAGATTATGTGAGCATTTGACTTTCCAGTATGGACCCCAATCAGTGTGGATATCCTTTTAGACTAATTATCTGTAATCCCTTTCCCCGAATTATTTAGGTTACTAATGCAGCCGCATGCTATACATGTAAAATAACGAATGCACTGATCTGCTCAGTAAAAAAAACACGCCAAATCTTAAACCAGCTTCACTTTGTTTGCAGGAACACCCAGCTGTTAGTAGCAAATTGATTATATTCAGTGCAGAACTGAAAATTACGCTCTTATGTTTACTTCCACACGGTTTATCTGAAGGGTCGAGAATCTTTTTAGGAAAAGCAATAACAACAATAAAAAGTACGTACCCATGTCGTCTTCTGCAGAAGTTAAACGGTGCCGCGTCCTCCGCCGTGTCGTGGGACTAACTGCACCGTGCAGTCGCTGCTCCGCTAGCCGCCCCACGGCTGCTGACGTCACTGACTGGGGTTACCAGTCCTGGGACAAGATCGGACGCACCCGGACCGCACTTGGACTTCCAGTCAGAATACATTATTCATCATTACACTCACCGACGCAACTAATTCTCGTAAAATACATCATATTCTTGCATATCTTCCATAACCATGTATCTGGTGCAGGTCCCCAGATTGCCGGCACACACACTGGAGACAGCTATCACTGAACTGCATGTTTTAACACAGTCAAGATGGGAATCAACCCCACAACCGTGGAGATGTGAAGCTTCAGCGCTCCCCACTGACTGACCATGCCAGCCAACCCTTTCCATTTTCAGTTAGATCTCCTCAGGTTTATCCTGTTTTATCCAGTGGCGTGCAATTTACTAATTGTTACAGGTAAAGCCTTCCATTTTGAAAGCTGCCTACTTCCCAGAGATACTTCACAGGTAGAGTCAGCTGTACATTCTAGCTTAGTCATATTATCGTATGATTTTCTGTTACATCCCTTTTTGGATGAAACCAGAGTAACCAAAACAAAGGTTTTCAAATGAAGATGGTCTTCAGCTAACCTATCCCTGCGATTCTGTCGTGTTCAGTCAGATTAATAGAAAAGCCAGCATACCATTCATTATACTGCAACCGCGACATCTAAGTTTTGCAGGACATACAGTATACGCTGACTAACAGACATGGTATGAAGGAGGTCCTCTCGAGAGCTGTGTGTGTTCGTGGTGTAAATCGACCCGCACACTTTTTCCATCACTCTGTAACGCACGCCCCATCCGCAAGGGCTTCCCCTCACGTGTGTTGTGGAGAGGATTGGGGGGAGAGGTGAACTGATCCCGTGTGCTAGCAGCCCCTCCCTGTATCAACCGTGAAATTAAGTCGCTCCGAATTGCCCGAGTCGTGCCGAGGTCCAGCAAGCCATCCTCGTAGCAATGAGCAGAAAACAAAGGCAAAGAGAGAAACTGGTTAGGTTTGGCCAACGTCCCTCAGTCAAGGACAGACCGGAAAAAAATGCAAACTGCTAATTACGCAGAACAAGAGGATTTTCTTTTAATTTTAACAACAGAAGGTCATTCCTAGTCTCTTTTGTGCAAGATTCCCGTAATTAGAACAATAATTAAAGTCAGAATTATACAGACCACATTTAGCAACCTTTGAAGCCTGGCGGTGTTTTGTTTTCCAAAATACTACACAGTAACACAGTAACGGGGCAAAATGTTTACACTGAGATGAGTGATAGACAATGAGTGAACAGTCTGAACATGACGCATCGATCGCTACCTAGACAATCAAGCACGGGTAAAATCACACTGACCTGGTGCGACGCTGACGTCAGCATCGTAACAGAACGTTCTTCAATTAATTAATACTGAAAAAAAAGTTGAAACGATTCCCGTACTGAGAGCACTCGGTTAGGCCTACTATCTCCCAGACAAATCCAGAAATGAGTGACTGGGGTCAAATGTTTCCTGTAATGAATCCTACACACACACACACACACACACACGTGTGTGCATAAATAAATAAATAGGCCCTCACCCCATTCCTTCATGGACTGGAATGTTTGGCAAATAACATATCAAGTTAAATATATCCATACAATTTGCTAAAAGAAATTAATTGTTACTATAGCTTTTTGAGAGAATAGGAATACTCTATGGATGTTATGTCAAAGGTTAGGTGTCCTACTGCAGTACGCCTATCAGAAAATGGTATCCCAAATATCAGGTTCCATGTAAACACATTCACACAACCTCTTTAACACAAACATTCACTCCACACATGCTCTATGCTTCTTCAGGCTATTGACTCCTGTTCCTCCTCTCACTGCAACGTCAAACCGTTAATAGTGATTTTCCTGCCACCTGGCTCTGTCCATGAATCCAGGAATTTTGGAAGGAAAGGTCTCCTGCACCTTTACGCACCACGTTCCTCCGGCGTCAGGACAGCTCTGCCTGCTGATTATCTGTCAGGCTTCAAGTACAAATAAAACATCAACTTATCATCCTTACTTAAGTGCCTAAACTATTGCCAAGAAAGCCATTCTGCCTGGCCATAAAAGTGGAGGTAAATTCTTTGCTGCCTGAGGACTAAATTTATTAGCAGATTACATTACACTAAAAAAAAATTGTCTGTTGAAAGGAAACTGGACTCTCTTACCCAAGCAACCCCATGCTCCACGAGAGCTAACCCTAAACCTCATCATTATGATGATTATTGTTATTACAGAAATCTAAAAGTAAGGTCACATCTTATTAGCCTTTCCAGCTTCATTCGATATTGTTTATACATTTACTTTTCACTGGTTATTATAGTATCAAACCTTTTGGCACCACATGCGCTAATTTGATAGGTAAATAAAATAGTCTTTCTTTGACTTGTTAGGTTCTTTTTCTGTTTATTGGCACTGCCATTTCGGTCTATGTAGACTTTACTTGGGCATAAAGATCACTCATTGAATGCAGTCTTAATGAGCAACTTAAATTGCTGCCACGGTCAGAGCTCACTCCACGCACCACGGCCCGTTTCATGCCAACCACGTAGCTGGACAGATATCTGGTGTCACTATGAGGATGGGAGCAGGAGGGTATAGTCATCCTTACCCAGAATGGCTGGTAGGGCATGAGAGCAGCAAAAAGACACAGCATCCTGGAAGTCCTTCACATCTAATACATCTAACGCATAATACATTTGAAAATGTTAAGTATTGCTGGATGGCACTCTGACTACATATGCTTATCTCCAGTCACAGCTTGGGATTTGTAATATTTTAATGCTTTCCGGTTCCCAGGAAGGACATGGCTTCCATGTAAAAGGGCTTAAATCAGTCCAGTTGGTACAATGAGCAGAGGCGAGGTGCCAACGACCAGGACATGGTCTTCACAAGGAGTTTGACTTTGCAAAGTGCATCTTGGCAGAATAAACAACATCCATAAATCATTGAAGATTTCTCTTGGGCCTGTTTTTTTCTTGACTTTCTAAGGATTGGTCAGCTTAGATAGTTAGAATTCTTGGGACTTGGTTCCTTCCTCCTAATTAATCTCTCCTGTTGGTCCCAGGAAACGAAACTCGGCTGAATATTCAAGCAGGCAAGGCTGTCTCCTCTGTCTACCCCAGCCTCCATGACCAAACACGAGTGAGAAGACTCTCGCCTGCACATCTGACTGAGGTATACTCAACAGAAGGATGCAGCAGGCGCTCTTTTTGGTATCTTCATTAGTCTTGCATACATTTGAGTCTCATGTGGACAACAGCTCACCAACCGCCCCCCCATCCAACTCCCTCCCCAATAACTTGTGGAATTCAGTACAAAGCAAAGCCTTTTATAAACTCTGAGTTCTATTTTTAGAGATTCATTTCAAACAAATCTTTAAAGATTTCAAAAGGACACATGGTACAAATGGCTAAACTCCAACAACATGTTGATTATTTAAATAGTCAATGTCTTTGTGGAGCCTTTAAGGGTCTGCTGAGCAGAAATAGTCAGATCCATGACTCATTCTTAAAATTCGGCTCCATTGCTTTGAGTTTCCATGTAATTATGCAACTCTGACGCATCCGGGCCGATTTCTGAAATCCGTTACATCCTCACGACCCCCATCGAGCATCTAAAAAGATGTTTTTCTCAGCTTCCAGAAGCCCTCATTTGAAGAGTCATCTCAAGAATGGTCTTCATCGTTTCTTCCCAAAAACAGAATCCCAGGACACAGACCACATAGAGTGTGCTTCAGTTCTTTCAAATGCAGACCAGCTCAACAGTAAGTCAACTTAAACCCTCTTTCTGATCTCACATTCCAGCTTCTCCTGAACATTCAAGGCCCAGTGGTGGAGATTCAGATTCAAATCAAACCTGTAGCAATTTCACCATCTGAAATTTAACATTTGTATTATACCTCATAATAGACAGGCCAGGCGTCAAAAAACAGTCAATACAAACATTTCTCAAAATTAAAAAACGGCCCAATTTATTACCAAAAAAAAAGATGAAGCAGATGGAGGACTGAAAGCAACATCACTAACCATCTGAAACATTCGAAGACACCACAGGAGGAAGGAGTATGTGGTGGAACTCAAACAGCTTTGACTTCACTTCTGAAGCTGACAAAACAAAGATCATCTGCTTATTTTACAGCCATTCCTTACGACCACATGAAGCCAGATCCACTGACACCATATGGCTTACAGGCTCTGCCTTCTTCTAAGTGCACATCATGCAAACAAAACACACTGTAAGAATTTTCGTTTATAAATCTTGCCCACGGCGCTTCAGTAGCACTTAGACAATTCAGTAGGCGGTGAGCACCATTGTTTACACATCAGTTGCCTAGACCTGAAGGAGATGCAGTCAAAATGTACATGAAAATGCAAGGTAACCACAAAACCTAGTAGAGGAAGCCTAAGAACTGTCTCTTACATTTACGAACATTACTCGCGAGCTTCGATTTATTACACAGTTAGAAGATGGCTGTGGCTTCAGCTGCCTGACAGGTGTGTACAGGTTACACGCCCTCAGAAGCAGGGGTGTAGCCCTACAGCCGGAGGGGGATGACAGGCCAGTACTTGGGCTGCTTCTTGTCGCATTTGCGGTCAAAGGTGAGCTGCATAGCGGTCTCCATGCCCTGGATCTTGGCAGCGTCCTCCCCATACAGCTTCTTCATCTCCACCCCGCGTCTCTCCCCCGGCCTCTCCAGGGGCGGCGCGGCCCCACACATGTGAACTCTGTGAAGGTCGTGGTCAGCCTGCAGGTACGGGCCCTGTCGCTCGGCCTCCAGCTGCTGTAGTTTCCCTGAAGTTGGACATTTCAGAATTNTGTAGTTTCCCTGAAGTTGGACATTTCAGAATTTCAGAAGGGGGGGGGGGGGGAGAGAGAGAGAGAAGCAATTGAATGGCACCCTGATGCCACATCGTGTTTTTGGCACAAGTGCCTTCCAGAAAAAGAGGCTCACATTTCATGAGGGGAGCTCGTCTGACGCTCAAAAACAATCTGCAACATTCCCAGATCTACTGGATTTAAGTGCCCTGGGAAGATCCACCTGCTATGCAGTAGATGTTACCAGAGCTCTCTCTGATCCAAGACTAGCAGAGGGGGAAAAAACAACATTCCCCGCATTTTTTGTTTTGGAAACTTCAGTGATGGATTCTACAGATCGCAGAAAAAATGTGGCAGCCCGTACCCCTAAACACCGGAAAGGGTCAGTCTGAGGTAACATCCGGCCCCTGCCTCAGGTTGAGGTGGTCGCCGGAGGCGCAGTAGTGCCTCAGCTGCCCTCCAAAGGCCATGTGAGCGGCTGCAGAGACACACTAAACATGTTGTGGAGGAAAGAAATCCCACTGGGGGAGATGAACGAGTCTCCCTTGGAAAATGTTTTTTCTTGTCTTACTCTTAACCTTTGCATTTCTCGGAGCCGAGCAGATTTCAGCCTCTTTAATCAGACTGTTGCCAAATGCACGGACACTGCCTCCCCGGATTGAGCCGTATGAAAAGGGTGCTCAGTCAGGCAAAAGAACAGAACAGGAACAAAGCTCCCTGCCTGCCTTTCTGCTGAACAGATTTGAATAATCACAAAAAAAAGCATTTAGGGCAATTTAAGTGGGAGACGGGGATAAAGCCCCAGTGCAGGCAGGGAGTCGAAGGCCAGCTGTAAGTCCTGCGAAAACGTGAGAACGGAACTGCAGGAATAAGACAGATGAGTGAGATGAACAGCTGAACAGTAGGGGGGGGGGGCAGCTGGAGTAGCCAGAGTCGGGATGGCCACATGATTCCTGTTGCAACTACCGCTGATGTGTTTTTTTCCTGTAGAATCAGGCTGGGGGTGGTGGGAGAGTTAGGGATTATGGATCTGAGGAGTCAGCGCAAAAAGGGGAACGGAGCCGGGCCTGTGTGATTACGGAGTCCACGGAGGCCCAAGACATCCGGTGCAGCTTAATCATGGAACACAAGATGACTACTTTGTGTATAAAGGGCTTGGGGGGGGGGGGCTATGTGTGGAAAAAGTTCCGCCCGTTTGAAGAAATGTGTCCCCTTGGGGCTGGACTTTACACACATTATTGCCAATTTCCACACTGCACTCCAAGGAATGTCATGATAACCCTGATGGGTGTACAAATCACTCAAACGTACGTCTCATGCAGAACGGCATGAGTGATGCAGCCTAAATTGCAGAGATAGTGGGTTTTCACACTAAGCTGGAACCCGGATACCCTGGCATTTTCAGAGCGCCTCCTTTAAGATGGAAAGTCATTTCTATTTGGTTACTTTAAGTTCCCAAAACTGGTGACTAATCCAAAGAGAAACGTGTATGTTTCTGTCGTTGCTCATCGAGATAGAGGCTGCAGGGGTATTGAGCGATGGGCTGCTGTTCCCAGGCTCCCAAAAGCTGGCCTCTCAGACCTGCCCAATTAAGAGGGGAAAGTGGAAACTCACTCTCTCTCTCTCTCCTTCTCTCTCTCTTCCACAGCAAAACTATTGCCAGGCAACCAGCACAAAAGCACATCGCGGAAAACCATAAAGGCCAATGGCCTGCTTGGGCAGAGACAAAGGAGGAGACCCCGCTCTGTTCTGTCCCACGATCGGACAATTTATGAGCACCACTGTTCTGGTAACAGAATCCAGTGCTGTGAAGAGAAGGACAATGTGACAGGATATGACATCTCTCTCTATATAAAGTATGCTCCGTTGTATGTAAACTTTAAAAGGTACAATGACACCTGCAAGCTTGGAGAGTGAGTCTGCCTGCACCAGACTGCTGCAACAACTGGATACATTCTCCTCCGTGTGGGGACAGGGTGCCAGTACTACCCAGACTGCGAAGAAGCCTTTTAAGGCTACTTAAGCACAACCTCAATCTGTGCAGAACCAGAGAATAACAGTGGAAAACATGCACAGCTGGATAATCAAAATCTCCTGTCCAAGCCAATAAAGCGTCAAGTTTTACAGCTTGGCATCCTGTTAAGAGCTGTGGACTATAACAGCAGATATTACGCCACTGGGGGAAGGATTTTACCCAGTCAGGATGATAACGCAGCTAACTAGTGCCCCCTACAGGTCATTCCGGCACCTGCAGGATCTTAGACTGGGCAGTTGCATTCAAGACAGTTGTCAGAGAATTGTGTGATTAGCCATTATGGAAGGCGAGCAGTTATGTATGTATGTGTGTGTGTGTATAATATATATATATAAAAACTGAAACTGATGTTTTGCAAAGCCTAGCTAAGCTCAAAATAAATAAATCTCAGGGCCCTGATGGCATCTTACCTACAGTGTTAAAAGAGATGAGGGATATTATTTGCCAACCCTTAACATTACCGTTTCAAAAATCCTTATCTGAAGGTGTGGTACCTTCTGATTGGAAGCATGCCAACATAACGCCCATTTTCAAAAAAGGGGATAGAAGTAATTTGTCAAACTATAGGCCAATCAGTCTAACTTGTATAACTGGTAAAGTTAAGGGTTGGCAAATAATATCCCTCATCTCTTTTAACACTGTAGGTAAGATGCCATCAGGGCCCTGAGATTTATTTATTTTGAGCTTAGCTAGGCTTTGCAAAACATCAGTTTCAGTTT